GGTTAAATTGTGGTGGATTTTCAGGGTGATCTAAACAGACTTTCACCAGTTCCTCTCATTTGAAAACAACACTTGCCAGTATGAGAGTTTATTTTATTTAAATTCCAGTTAGTTAACATACAGTGCAATATTAGTTTCAGCAATGGAATTCAGTGATTCATCACATCCATACAACACCTGTTTTTCATCACAAGTGCACTCCTTAATCCCTATCATCTGTGCAACCCATCTCCCCCGCCCCCCTCACCTCCAGCAGCCCTCAGTTCTCTATAGTTACGAGTCTGTTTCTGGTTTGACTCTTTCCCCCTTGCTCCTCCCCTCCATGTTCATCTGTTTTGTTTCTTAAATTCCATATATGAGTGAAATCATATGGTATTTGTGTTTCTCTGACTTATTTTGCTTAGCATAATACTCTCTAGCTCTATCCTAATCCAATTAAAAACGAGCAGAAGATATGAACAGACATTTCTCCTAAGAAGTCATCCAAATGGCTGACACATGAAAATCAATATCACTCACCATCAGGGAAATACAAATTAAAACTACAATGAGGAAATATAAATTAAAACTACTACTTCACACCTGTCAGAATGGCTAAAATTAACAACACTGGGAACAACAGGTGTTGGCAAGGATTCAGAGAAAGAGGAACCCTCTTACAAGTTGGTGTGAATGCCAACTGGTGCAGCCACTCTAGAGAGCAGTATGGAGTTTCCTCAAAAAATTAAGCAAAAGTCAAAAACTGTGATCCAGCAGTCAGACTACTAGATATTTACCCAAAGATTAACAAAACCACTGCTTCTAACCCACACAAGCACCCTGGTGTTTATAGCAGCATCACCAACAAGAGCCAAATTATGAAAAGAGAAGCTGTTATTTTTTAATGTTAATCAAATATTTCTATATTGTCAGGAATTGAATGAGCCTCATTTCTACATATGGATTAATTTGCATGGGTAAATTCTGATTCTGTTATTAATACCATTCTCTGATTTGTATTAATCTTTGGGTTTGCTGAATTCATTTTCCTTTTTTTTTTTTTTTTTTTTTTGGATTTCTAATTCAATTCAACAGAACAGATGGGGCCTTATATAATGTGGTGGGTCTTGATGCCACTTGATGTTTGGAATGGTTGACTAAACAATGCAATTAGTATTTAATCTACCCACACTGGTGGTAGAATGGAGTAACTGATTGGTTTACTGATTTGGATAGAGTTTGATAGAGTAAAAACAATAGTGTGTTACTTTCCCTAGGGTGGGAGCCTGCTGGGTGAGACTTGCTCATTTTCCTAGATTGACTGATTGATTGATTACTCTGTATGTAGTATTTAGTTATGTTTTCACCCAGATGACTGAGCTATGCAGGAGTGTTGGCAATAAGACTGTGTTCCTGTGTAAGGTGAAAATAGTTTGGATAAAGAAACAAACATACAGGAGCCAACCTTTTAAAAAATCAAGCCACTTTTTACTAACCTACTATTTGGAATTTCTTATTTTAAGCTATATTTTATCAAGTTCAGAGCATTAGACTTTTAAGTTTCTCCCCTGCTCCTTGTTACCAATACTCCAAAGGGCTGCTTCCTTTTTTCCCCTAAAATCAGCCTTCAATTTGGTATCATTGATGTTATCAAGCTACTCTGCTTCTTTAAGCAGAGAAAGAAATTATATTGACTACCTGTAGTCAGGTTGCTAATGTCAACTGATTGCTTGGAATGACCCAGTCTATACCTAATTAGTAACACACTGGGCTCGAACAGGGCTGTTGAGTCTGTGTTCTAGAATTCTCTTTCACCATACCTGTGGGTTTTCAAGGTTATCGGGAGGAGTGAAGAAATACCAATGGGGAGGGAAAAAAATAGCTGCTGAGCTCCTAATACTCTCTTTTACAATCTCACATTTGGCTAAAACAATTTTGCCTGCTCTGTGATGTGCTGCCTGGCACAAAAAGATGAATACAGAAAAGGATCCAAGAGATTAAAAGGTCAATGGATTATCCATTAAGCAATCAAGTCTCAATATACCTCAATTTGTCTAGGTCATGATTTATTGTCTGGGATAAATGGACCAAGATCTGTTAGTTTCCCCCCGGGACTATTTTGTTTCAAATTGCTACTACAGCCATTTCTTTGAGCCCTGGTCACTATTATGTAGCTTTTGACTAGTTGACAGTATTTTAAAATTACTTTTAAGTACCACCCAGCTCAGATTATTTTAGCTGATAAGGGCACAAAGCTTGTTGAACGTCAAAGGCAAATAACTAGGGGCATTTAATTCAGTAAACAAGGGAAGGTCTTTCTATATTGTGTTCCATGCACATGGCAGGTGTCCAGATAGCCTGTTCATTGGAACACTGTTGGGAAGAAAAGGCCAAGCTTTGCTGAACTTGTAGGGAATGGTATGGTGTGTTAATTTGCATCTGATTTGCATATTTAGTTTCTAATGGGTTAATTCCGCCCCAGCAACAAACTCAGGAAAATAAGCAGTTTCCTGTGCATACTAAGCACAAAGTAGCTTTACTCCACCTGTTTTAACATTCTGAAATGTTCCCAGGCTCAGATGCACTACAACCTTGGTTTTTCACTTGAAGAATGAGGAGCATGATACATTCAGTATCTTGGTACATTTTATTTGGCAGCTTTGGATGATAAAAGCTTTATCGATAACCAACAGTATGCTGGGGCAAAGCCAGAATGGTTAAACGCAATTCTAGGGAAAAAGGCCTGGCCATTCCCAAAGAGCTTGCATTTTGAGGAAAATTCTATGCCATGGAGCATGTGGAATTGTCTGTGTTTTCTCCGGCAGGTTTCAGTCCTGGCTGTTTGAAACAGCCAGTCGCCAGAATTCTAAGGCATTCTTTTTTAGGAATAGACGGTCTTACAGTAAAGAGAGGATTAAAAATGATGAATTATAGATTCTGTTAACTATTTACCATGTATGCTTGTAACTATCAGTTCCTACTTTTATCTCAGTAGACACTGAGGGGTTACTTACACAAATTTCTACAGGGAAATATTATCTACTTGGGTGGCTCAGAGCACAACACATGAACTATGATTTGTCACTGGAGCAATTCTGACTCTTGGGTAAATCACAGAGGATCCACTTCTTTTTAGATGAACGATCCATTTCATTCAGGTTTGGCTGTTGCATTTACATTTGCCAAGCTCTTAAGTGACCTGAGCTACATAGTATTTTAAAACTGTGAAACCTTTCGGGGCGCCTGGGTGGCGCAGTCGGTTGAGTGTCCGACTTCAGCCAGGTCACGATCTCGCGGTCCGGGAGTTTGAGCCCCGCGTCAGGCGCTGGGCTGATGGCTCAGAGCCTGGAGCCTGTTTCCGATTCTGTGTCCCTCTCTCTCTGCCCCTCCCCCGTTCATGCTCTGTCTCTCTCTGTCCCAAAAATAAATAAACGTTGAAAAAAAATTTTTTTTAAACTGTGAAACCTTTTACCCCTTACAAAAAGTCAAACTCAGGTCTGGCCAATGTAGGTAGATCAGTTATTCCCAGATTTGGAAAATGGAAGAATTGGGGATAGTTATGGATTTATTGTAAAGTGATTCTTCCTTTTATGTACAAACGAGGTATTACATACCACTTAAGTAACATGCTTCCAATGCATTTCATTTATTTTTCATATACATGAAAATGTTATCACAATGCATAAAATATTACCATAAAGCATAAATAAATTCATAGTATCATCATCTCACTAAATATTTTTTGCAATAAAAGGATATTGGGGAGTATTTTATGAGGTTGCAGGGTTTTGTTTTTTGGTTTTTTTTTTTAGATACCATGGACACTATGTGGTCCTTTCCTTATAGAAACAAATTAAAATGATAGTTAAAATTCAGCAGTTAGTATAAGAGTTGAGGTTGGTTACATGATCATTTCTAGTATCTCACATAGAAAGAATTTAGGAACGTTAAATTTACTTTGTGGCTGGTTATCTGCGGAGTGTTTTTTCTGGGATGGTAGATAATTGTTCTAAACCTGTCTGCTAACATTATTCTTTTGCTTCTGCTGGGGTGCAGAGTTGTATATTTCTCCAAAAATTTGAACAAATTTCTGTTTCACAGACATCTTGTGAGATGGTAGAATCAGAATCATGAAATTTTGATGAAGGAGATATTAGTAATTTTGGAGCTTAACCTTTTCATGTTATTGATTTGTACCAGTGATGTTGGCCAGGGACGTGACAATATTTGCTCAGTGCTGTATTTCATAGTGGAGCTGGGGCAAGACTCAGCCCTGTTTATTCCTTTGTCAAGACTTATATACTATTATCACATTTGTTCATGGAAGATGAAATGCAGATTAGCAGAAATGATTCTAGGAAAACATGTGGTAACTCTACAACACTACCAGACTCACAGTTTGGGTAAACGTGAACTTCTATAAGTTCACACGTATATGTTTAAATACTTCCAATTAACTCAAGGTGGCAGGAGCTACTTGGAGAGGTTTGCTCAATAAAAATTGAAATTTTAGTAGAACAGATAATTAGAGGAAATAGAAAGGAACCAGCTAAGAGATTTCTGTGGTCTCTTGCCTTGATTTTAATGATCACAATGTATCTCACAGCCATCCAGCAATTTGATATTTTACTTCCTGAGGAATTAGAAAGCTAAAAATGGTGGCAGTGGAAATACTCATATTTGTTTCTTTGGATCTTTGAAAGCTGGTCTCCAGTTGGGACTAGTGTTCTTAGAAAATTTACAAGATTCTTTTGAGGAATAGGCACGTAGGTGATAGCCTTCACTGCTTTTGTCCAAAAGACCATTTTGGTGGATTCAGAATTTATTAGATGAGGCAATTTTTGTGGCTTTTTAGACTTCAATTAAATGTATCTTATAAAAATAATATAGGGGTGCCTGGGTGGCTCAGTCGGTTGGGCATCCGACCAGCTGAGGTCAGGATTTCACAGCTTGTGAGTTGAAGCCCTGCATTAGGCTTTGTGCTGTCAGCTCAGAGCCTGGAGCCTGCCTTGGATTCTGTTTCTCCCTCTCTCTCTGCCCCTGCCTCACTTGTGCTGTGTCTCTCTCTCAAAACTAAATAAACATTAAAAATAATTTTAAAAATAATATAATGTGGGGCGCCTGCGTGGCTCAGTTGGTTAGGCATCTGACTTTGACTCAGGTCATGATCTCACCACTCCATGAGTTCAAGCTCCACATGGGACTTTGTGCTTACAGCTCAGAGCCTGGAGACTGCTTTGGATTCTGTGTCTCCTTCTCTCTCTGGACCTCCCCTCCTCATGCTCTCTCTCTCTCTCTCTCTCTCTCTCTCTCTCTCTGTCTCTCTCAAAAATAAATAAACATTAAAATTTAAAAAAATAAATAAATAAAAATAAAGATAATATATTGTTACCAAAAATAAAGGCAGTAGAAAATATCACCCCTGATCCTTGACCTTGAAGGCCTTAATTTTCCCCTTAGCTTGACTAAATTTTAAGAAGGTTTCTTTCTGACCATATGCCCCTGACTTCTTCTTCATAGAGCATTTACTTTAGAAAAGTTGAAATTATAATTTTCTTTTTTTTTTTATTTAAAAAAAATTTTTTTTTTCAACGTTTATTTATTTTTGGGACAGAGAGAGACAGAGCATGAAGAGGGGAGGGGCAGAGAGAGGGAGACATAGAATCGGAAACAGGCTCCAGGCTCTGAGCCATCAGCCCAGAGCCTGACGCGGGGCTTGAACTCACGGACCGCGAGATCGTGACCTGGCTGAAGCCAGACGCTTAACCGACTGCGCCACCCAGGCGCCCCTATAATTTTCTTCTCTGCCCCTTTGGGATATAAATCTTCTCCCAGAGTCTTGCCAGTTTTATCGCCCAGAAATATCTTTCCAAGGATCTGGGGGCCATCCCTTTGGTATATAATCACCAACAAAGATGATGCACCTGTCTCCCAGTGTCTGTGGAAGGGCAGGAGCCTATCTTTAGTTAGTGCCAAATAGCCAACACATGGCCTAATCATAAACTTCCCTATTAATAGATATAGGATGATAATAAGGATAATGTGAAGTTTAAAGTTTGATGAGGCAGTTATCTTTATGCTTTGGTTATCATGAACAAAGATAAAGCAGAGGGACTCCTGGGTGGCTCAGCTGGTTAAGCATCCCACTCTTTTTTTTTTTTTTTTCCAATATATGAAATTTATTGTCAAATTGGTTTCCATACAACTCCCAGTGCTCATCCCAAAAGGTGCCCTCCTCAATACCCATCACCCAGCCTCTCCTCCCTCCCACCCCCCATCAACCCTCAGTTTGTTCTCAGTTTTTAAGGGTCTCTTAAAGCATCCCACTCTTGATTTCAGCTCGGGTCATGATTTCACCATTCTGGGTTGAAGCCCAACATAGGGCTATGCACTGACAGTGCAGATACTGCTTGAGAATCGCTCTCTCTTTTTCTCTCTGCTCCTCCCCACTCTCCCTCAGAAATTAATAAACATTAAAAAAAGAGAAAGCAGAGAAATTAAGAAACCACTACTGTTGGGTTTGGCAGTGAAGGAGCTGAAATGTACCAGGAATGTTAATTTACACAGTATTTTAATCTTTCAAATTGTAAAACAAAACCTTCCAACCTTTCCACGAATTTCCTCCACTAGCTCACCCAAGTGCTTAAAAACTCTCCTGCCTTTTGTGTCAGTGGAGTTGAGTTCAATCTCTCTGGCCCATTACAGTAGTTTCTCTCCTCTGTTGCAGCAGTCTTAAATAAGGTCTTCCCTCCCTGTTTCTTCGCTCAGTGCATGTTTTTTCTTTGATATCTTCCAACCCTACAAGAAACACTTTTTATTTCTTCATTTCCCTGTTCAGTCTTTTTCCATAAGCATATGGCGTGCATACACTCAAAGCATGTCTACATCTTTACTTTCATTTATTCTAATCATTTTTCTGTATTGGTGTATGATGGTCATCATTATCACAAGATATTCTTTAAATATAATGCCTGTATTATCTTTTTCTACTTGACACAAATGTTAGCTAAACAGGTAATAGCACACAATTACAATGTTCAAATGCTCAGCCTTGATCATCATATGGTAAGGCCACAAGAGTGTATTCATTTTTGTGTTATTTTGGTAATATTAAGGCCATGAAAATTAAGCTCAGCTGTAGTAAGGAGACAGGGTATGGTAATTAATGTTCATTTTTGTTAGTCAATTCTGGTAGGTTAGCTCTGAATTAATCCAGGCTGTTTCACAGTCCTTAATTGTGCCCTACAAAATGTGATCATGCACATTTGGCTATATATTATTGAGGATATAGTTTCCAAAAATACTCGTATTAGGCTGTGAGTGCTAAATGATTTGGAATAATACAAAAGGAGAAATAAGTGATAAGCAGGGGGAAACAGGACAGATATTTCACTGTTAATGCACATACACTGTTTATACAAGGACATATGAGGGGATGGTAAATAGGAAGACAAAGCATGGTAAGTTGTAGGAGAAAGAATGAAGAATAATCAGGGTCTCAGGTGGTAGGTGCAGGCACTGAGCTGTACAAAAAAGAATTAGATGTTGGTGATGAGGTTTAGAGGAGAGTTCATGTTGTGACATATTCTGTTTGTGTCCTTATTTGTTGCATCTCATGAAATGAAACTGTTTTCTTAATGGTAGAGCTGAAATATTCTCTTAAGACATTTTGAATTCAAAGGTGGTGATATGTCAAGTTGCTGTTCAAAGGGTAACCAAAATGCTTTTGTGAAATGTATGCTAAATTGATCTTGAGGTTTTTTTGTTTTTGTTTTTGTTTTTTTGTCAAGTCTAAGGTGAAGATAAAGACTAATAGCTACTGTAGCGGCAAAAAAATTGGGTACATTTTTTTCAACTCTATCCTGTTAAAAAAAAATCAAAGAAAGTTCTCTATAACTGTCCATGGAAGTAATGTAGGAAATGCTGTAGAATATTTAAAAGAATTTGCTGAACTGCGAAGACTGACATTTGAGTCATAAAATCAGATTTTGTTTAACAAAGTTAATACATTTGAAGCTTCTTCTGTCTCAGGAATTAATAAAATGACAGTGATGAGTGATTGTGGAATTGAAAACAGATTGGCTTGCATTTTGAACCACGTCAAGTTTAATTTAGCAGAGATATTAATTTGAGGTGGTTTTATGTTAATAGTTATGGGGAAACATTATCAGGGCCAAAACACTCAGCCAGATGTACTGAGCATGTGCCCTATGGATTCATGCAAGCTAAAGATGGGTTGAAAGAAGATAAAAAGATGCCAAGTCATCATCAGCCTGTGTGATTCTTGGCTCTCTGTCTCTGTATCTCAGAAAGCCTGAGCCATCAGATTTCCCAAATCAATATTTCCTAATTATTACACCAGGGCTCACTTTATATTATGTCAATGAAAATTTTATTTCAAATATGCTTGACCTTTACAAAGTGTCACAAGGTGTGATTGGTGTGACCCTGTTCTCTCTGCTGAGATTGCCTTACAAATTTTATATATTTGAAAGTCAAGAGTTCTCAAACTTTGTCATTCTTAATTGCTTTTTAAGTATTCTAAATCAGGTGAGGACAATCCATTTTTTTTTTTATTCTACTCATTGTTGTGAAGAGACTCTTCAAGTAATTCTGGAACTTATTAAAAAATCTTTTATGTGCCAGGAACTATTCTATTCACTCAAGATATGGAAGTAAAACAAAAGAGAGTCCACATTATGTTCAAATTTAATGAGGAAAGAGAACTAGTGACAAATAAATGAAAAATATGTTATAAAGAAAAATAAAACAGGGCAAA